AAAAAAAATCCTCCTCCAACAAGTAGTTAATAAAGCTCTACAACACACTATAACCTTATTCACTTTATATCCAATGCATGAAAAGGTGGCAAACATGAATCAGACAATAAGGATAATCTGATGTTAGCTTAAAATACTCTTTAAAACTTCATAAAGCAAATGTCAAAGAATAAGACATGAATCAGACGATAAGGATAATCTAATGTTAGCTTAAAATACACTTCTAAACTTCATAAAGCAAATTTGAAAGAAGCGGAAAATGCCCCTTACCGCTGCTGTTCTGCTATGGCTCGTAACTGGGCTCCTATTGCTGAAAATAAACGGAACATTTTTATTCACAAATCCATTAAATATCCCAAAAATTTGGAATGTTTGTGTCAGAATTTTCAATTTGCTTAAATTGTCTTCAAAACTTAAGGCATAAGATAAAATGCAAATGAAAAAGTTACACTAATCAATGGTCTGATAAAATGTATTTATTGTGGAAAGAGATGTTAAAAATATAAACTTACTTAGCAGCACATAAAGCAACCTTTAAGCAAATGTACAAATTATTTAGTAGCATCTGTGTGTTCCAAACACTTAAATTACAATTGGTCAGAGATATAATAATTTTAACTCACGATCATTTTCTGCAGCAGCAGAGTTATTAGATCCCAGGCTGGAGCTGAAGGGGTCGTAAGCTGGTTTTTTAGCCTCTGGTTGCGCTATAATAAAAGTGATAAAACACACAAAGATCAAATACATGTTCCACCTTTTGTTAATTTATCATTGAAGTGTCACTCTTTGTATTTAACAATTTTTTTCAACTTTAAAAAAATTGGTACATTATGAAATGCGTAAATTATGTGAAATGTGAAACAGTAAGTTATATAAATAATTAATAAAAACACTAAAATTCATGCAAAAGTTAATTGCAGACAAAAAAATGGCAAATTATTCTTTAACAATGAATATACTATGACAAAAATTGTAACAATTGCTTGAAAAAAATATATCATGCAATAATAATACACAGGTCACATCCATTTTTTAAAAAAATAATCATCAAATCAATTAATCAATAAATGAAAGAACAAGTTAATAACAAAGTCGTTACGATTTAAAAAAAAATCACTTCAGGGTGAAAAGAAAAGAGGGTTACCCATGAAAAGAAACAGAGACTAAATTCTATCCTCAATCAGCCAGGTGCACTCACTCAGAAGGTTAAAATTACAAAAACACCTAATATTTTAGTAGGAAAAAATCACAAAGTGCAGGATGAGAGGGGTATCTAATTCTACTGGCCACAAAACACAACAACAACAACAACAGATCCCAATCTACACAGCTGCAATATTGCCAGTTACAGTCTCTGTGGTATGTTTACCGGTAAACCCCCCTCCCAATCCACACATTTTAATATACTCCATTCCCTTGTGACCGCTTTTTAGACCTCTTGTAAATCATTTAATCCTTTATGTCTGTTTACACGTTCCCACTACGCCAGTAAACCCCGACTATTACAGCAATCTATAACAAGTAACAGTCTGTTTTAAGGCTTGTACCTTATAAAGTATGTGCATGCATAACATTAACCTATATTATTTACCTACTAAATTTTTGTTTATACTCCCTTGCCAATTACTTAATTATCAATTATAAAACAAAAAGACTTCTTCAAATTAAGATACTATCTTCCTTTTAAATCAAGCTTGTTCTTGGCCATATAAACCAAGGTGTATACACATCAACTGTATATTACTGACTGGTACCCCACTCTCCCTTGGCTTTCACATGAAGGGTAACTAAAGAAATACCGCAGCTGCCTAGAGGACACGCTCTCCTTTCCACCTTACCAGAAAACATGAAGGGCATGTTCTTAAAGTCGTCACTATCATCAGGATTACCTCCAAAACTGTCCTGAAGGGGGCGCTTTAGGCCTTGGATGTCGTTCGGCAAGTCGTTTCCTCCTCCGTCAACACTACTGATCTTTGCTGCAATCTGTTAAATGATCATCACTTACACATTTTATTATTGATCATAATATAAAGAGCATCTACATTAAAGGAAAACATGTATATGAATGTTTACTACAACCACGAAGTACTTTTGCACTATTTTGCCCCACCTTCTACAAATGTAAGGTTTCCAATGTTTTTCTAAATAATGTTATGTGGTGACTTTACGCTAGCAAACTGATTTGACAAATTGCTTACTAATTCCTAAATGTTTTTATAAGAGACTTCATGCTCATTTAAAATTATGATCTAAGCCACTGAGAGGCAAATATTTGCTGAAATCTTATTGGTGAAAGAACTGAAAAATTTACTGTAAAAACATTTTAGTTCATTTCCAAAACAATTTGTTTGATTAGGGGCAAGATTGATGAAAATCATCGCATAACTGAATTGTGAGGCTTTAAAAATCAATCTTATACTGGGTGGGCTGGAGGGCGATGGGGGGGGGGGGGTAATGCAAAAGTACAAATATGATAACGACACAGGAGTGCCATTTAAGAATCAACATAACATCTTCATAATCATTGCTCTTCGTCCCGCGTGGGACATAAGGCCACGACATAACATCTTACACTGAACTTTTTCACGACAGCCTGCTGTATTGCTCCTGAGAAATTCGTGACCTTAAAGCACAAATAAAGCTTGACGAGTGTGTCTCGGGAAGGAAAATACAACCGAATAATGATAAAATGTTAGGTGCACAATTGAACAGCTTAATTGAATAAGAATATTACGATCAAAACATTGTAAATATGCAGCAATTATCCACTTAAGTTATTTTAGTCATTTGAAACGAAATTTACGAAATGCATGCCGTTTCTTTGTTGCGGTCAATGAATGCAAAACAAAATGGCCGACTGTCGGCAACGTGGTCCTCGGAAGTATCGATATTTTACGATAACTTCCATCACTAAGTTAAACACAATTAAGTACAATAAACCCTGATTTCTTCATTTACCTGTCTAGCACGAGCTAAAGCGTCGGCAAACGCTGAATTTGGGTCAGAAAAACCTCCACCTGGTGGGCCCACTTGTGAAAAATCCATTCCTTCTCCAAATCACGATCTGCTCACACCCGCGTAAATCAATGACGTTTTACACGCTTCCTGTAGAGGGTGCTACAATCTGTCACGTGATTGAAACGGTGCATAGAAAAACAAACCCGGGGCACGTGGTTGACCATTGACACGGACATGCTCAAGCATTATCTTCTTTAAAAAAGTGACAAAATAACTATGTGGAAGTAATAGGGATTCAGGAACATTAGCACTAAAAGGTTTTTTTAAATATGTTCAATTGAATACCGTCATTTTGTTGATTGTGATTTTTTTTTAATTTTGGATTGTCGCACCCTCCAGGGGGACCCTCCTTTGCCCTGGGACGCCATTCACCTTGGCCTATTTAAGCATGAAGCAACTGCCTTGAGGTCGTATACTGTTGACAGAATTAAAAATTTGGTTGTCTACGTCTCATTACTCCACAATTATGGAGAACGAAAGCACTGTCGACGCTACAACACGGATGCGGCACCGATTTCTGTTCGAGGAACTTGGCTTTGTTAATGAAGAGATAGTGGCGTTGAATATGGGGGCCCCTGGGGAGGCAGCTCTGGTAGACTCACAAGAAATGTTGGCTAAAGCAACCGAAAAGAAACTGGTAAATATGACCCCAGAGAAATGTCATAAAAACTCATCGTCCTACTCAGTGTTTAGGAGTGATCAGCCCCTTTCCCAATGGTCTCACAATATATATGAAGCAAATTAAGTCTGTCTCATAAAAAATAATAATTATAAATAAAAAATTAATCAATTGATTAGTTAATTAATTGATTGATTGATTAAAAAACAGATTTAGTGTTGGACGGAAAAAGGTAACTTAATTATTTTTAATTGGTTTTTATGATTAATGAGATAATTTGATAGCTAAGATGACGGTGTGACTGAAATGCGCAGTACACCGCAATACAGCGCAACACAGCGCAATACACTTAAAAAATCAAATCCAGTTGCAATTACACTAAAGAAATGACCATTCCCAGCAAAGTAGGGTGATATAAAAACAACCTATATTACTAGGTAAGTAATATCATTGATATAACTTAACAAATCAGCAAGACTTTTATATTGTCCGGTTGGCAGCCATGTTGGCTACTCGCCAACATGGCAGCTGACCAAACAATGAAAAAATTGTCAAGTTGTATCAGCAATATTAATTACTATGTACTATTTTTTGCTTTTATATCACCCTATTTTATTTGAGATTACCCTTTCCTGTGTTTACTTGCAACTGGACTTGTGTTATCAAGTGTATTGCACTGTGTTGCGCTGTATTGCAGTGTATTGCGCATTTCAGTCACACCCCTAAGATGAGGCCAGGAACACAATTTTTTAATTAACAGAATAATTTGTAAGTTTAAGCCATTTCAAATCTAAATGACATCACCATATCACTCAGTTTGGTCATCTGGTGATGGGCAGTCCTGTTTTTTAGTGTATGTTGGAAGACGGCCTTCCTTGTAGACCAATTAATATTCCTTTTGATGCAAACTACCTTGTTAAAGGCTGTAGACCAATTTTACTGACCATCTCCTTGTCTTTCAGGCTGCCCCCAGTTCCAGGTACTTGTTCCAGTATGGTCCCAGAGTAGGAGGAGATGATTACAGAGAAGAACTGGCCAAGTTCCTCAGCCACAATTATCAGGACTCTTTAGACAGGTGAGCTATACTAGCCCTAGAGGCTTGTTTCACAGGATACTTAAATTCCAAACATTGATCTAAATTTTTTAAGTGTGCTTCCACAAATCATAAATAGCTAGGACTTAGTCCAATCAAAATGAAACACTGCATCTAGCTACTTTATAATAAGAAATACAGTCCTTTCTGTTACTGAAAGATAATAAAAACATTTCAGACAGTAAAAAACCTGTATACTGTCCTCATATATTTGCATACCTGTATATTTGGCATAGGGAAGACCTGGTCCTTACTGCAGGGGCAACACACGGCCTATCCCTGGTCACCACCCTTTTCTTCCAACCTGGTGACACCATCTTTGTAGAGGACCCAACCTACTTTATAGCCATTAACATGTTAAGAGAAGACTATGGAATGAATATTATATCAGGTAAAATAGTTAACTGTGGTCACATGGAGTGAGTACTGGACTGAACACAAATGTTATATGTTTGTTTTTCTGGTTATATGCCTATGTCAAGTTGATTCGGCAATAAACTATACTATACTATACTATACTATATACTGTACTGTACTGTACTGTACTGTACTGTACTGTACTATACTATACTATACTATACTATACTGAAGTCAGCATGAGAGATACAATTATCAGTATATCCTGATGGTCTTGCAGTTTTCTATCAGTAATGTGCAAATTATCACTCTATTGTGTTATGAACTCAGAAATACAGATAAGTTTTTAAAACTACAATTTTTGAGATATTTATATTCTGTAGCTTATATTATCCCTTCAATGAGAGAAAACAATTTTAAGTTTTGGTTTAAGTTTTTCAGTAATCAGTTCTACCTTCTTTATAGCCATACACCAAGATAGAGACTTGAATGCACGAAACACAATCATACTGTAAACTATATACACACACAAAAAAAAATGCGTGTGAATTTTTTGAAATTCTTGTTGTTCTTTTAGTTCCCACTGATGAAAAAGGAACAAATGTTGAAGAGTTTGAAAAAATATTGAAAACTGAAAAAGAGAAGCATCGCCACACAAGGGAATTGGGTCCCAAAAGACTGTTTTGGTCTATGTTGTACCTTATTCCAACATACAACAACCCCACAGGGAGAGTAATGGCACCCGGTAAGTCAGGGACTGGTCAGGGAAGTGCTTACTTGAGGATAAGTTTGGTTCCATCCCTAAAAACAGCTTTAAGCATTATTGAAATTATTGTGTTTTAGATTTTCACAAGATTGTTGAAAGCATTTTTAGAAAGTTTTTTTTTTAATATTGCTACATGTATGTTTTATTTAAAAAAAGAAGGTTTTGCTTTGAGAAGTGCATGGCTAGCACAATGACAAATATGTGAAGATCTGTTCATGTCCTTTCATATGCTTGAAGATCGCTGCATGTCCCTGATCAAGCTTGCCAGAAAACACGATTTGCTACTCATGTGTGATGATGTTTATAACTTGCTGACCTATGACCCTGCAGAGCCCCCGCCACAACGCCTACTGGCCTACGACAAGAAGTATGCAACCAATGCAAGCTTTTACAACAATCTTTGCCTGCTTAATTGCTAAGTTAATGAAATTTTATCTATAGCTGACTTTTATTTAAGCTTATTTCTTGATGAAAGTCACTGCAAATGCAGCAGCCATGGCTGGTACAACAAGTTTTTTTTATTACATTTTGAGATAAATAATACAAAATGTTTGGTGAATGTTTATTATGTTTCAGAGTGGTTTAAATTTAAAAAAGCATCCATGGACATAAGTTATGAACTTGGTCTTTATTCAGAATTTGAATTATTACAGGACCGATCCAGATTTCCAAGGTCATGTTATTTCTAATGGGACATTTTCAAAGATCTTTGCTCCTGGGGTCCGCGTGGGTTGGATTGAGGCATCTCCACGGATAGTAAATTTACTTAAAGAAAGGTAAGATATAAGACTGTGTGAAATGACACATTTAGCTTGAAGTCAGTTGTAAAACTTGTTCATTTTTAGGTTGGAGTTGAGACTTATGATATTTGAAATTTCAAGAAAAAAATGAGGATAATTAAGAAGATGAGTGAGTAAAATATAATTAGCAATAATGATAGTGCTGAAGTAGAGATGCAAGAATGATTTTAAATAATAATATTTTATTTGGGTCAACATAATTTAAAGTGGTCTTTATTGGCCATGCATGTACATGCATCAGTCAGCCTATAATGTATATATCATATTTCATGTGTGTCATTTATCTCTTGAAAGGAGTTGTGAATTATTTGGAATGGAGAAGATAAAGTATATAATTGTGTTTTGTTACAGTCACACATTACAAAGTGGAGGAGGTGTCAATCACTGTATGGCAGGTATATTGGCAGGTGCCATGGAAACGGGGATGATGTCACATCACCTAGAAATGTTGAAGATGAAATATGCAGTAGGGAACATTTGATATATAAAAAAGAGATAAAATATTTTAAATCAAAATGCATTATGAGCATGTCTTAGCCCTGGTGCATTTTTTTTTACTTGGGATTTTTGAAATTAGAGGTGTGCTGTCTCTTTGTTATGCTACCAATTATCACATTCACCTGTAATGACAATTAATTATGTCTTTCATGTGATGAGCTTTGTATGTAAATGTAAGCTTTTGGATTTAGATCTAGCTCTGAAGTAAAAATTGACATTAAAAAAAGTTTGGAAACTGATTAAAATGCATTAATAGCACTACACTACATACATAAATTGGCAAATTTATGTTTGTCATATTTTTTCAGAAAAACATGAAACAGGTGTGCAAAACATTGAAAGATAAATTGCCAAAAGGAGTCGAGTTCAGTGAACCTAAGGTAGGGATGTCCTCAATCCCCAAATTATTCAAATCTGCATTTTATTATTGACACTTGTCACTTTTGATGACTTAGCAAACAGAAAAAATGGAAAATGTTTGGAGAATTTAAAAAAAATCAAAACATGCTGATTTGGGTCTGCTATAACTATTTTCTTCCATTTGGTCTCCACCCCCACCTCTTTGCCATGTGATTTTGTTCTTTAACTATTGACTATACCATTATGATAAAATTATTGAATCTTCAAATTTTTCACTGACACCCTGGTCTCTGATGACATTTCAGGGAGGCTATTTCATATGGCTGACACTTCCTGAGAGTGTGAATTGTGAGGAACTCGTTGAACTGTGCAAAAGGAAATACAGACTGGATTTCATGCCTGGATCATGGTTGGTCTCTTCTTAATACTTCTTATACAATTAGCAATTTTTCACATAGACTCCGCTTTAAGGAAAATTGCCTTAGTATGAAACTGAATTGACAAGGAAGTCAGTCATGTGAAAGACAACAAGGTTAAAGATGATTATTATATATTCTATTTGAAGTTCATCAATTTCAACTCCACCAGACCAGCATCAAGGAGCATACCCATTCAGACACAAAAATATTCTTCTTCAATTGAATTCACAGGTTCCTAATTTTTTCTGTACACTTCACCCTATGTCAAGAACTAAAGACAAAAACAGATATTTAATTCTGCTCCATTTCAGTGCGTCACCTNACTAGGCTAAGTTTAGTGCTATAAACTCATTTGCCTGATTAAGTGGCCATTAAATGAGATTTCATAAATCACACTTGTTGATATTTCCCTGTAAACTCCCAAAGGTTAAGCTCTCTGCTAGATAACAGTGTCCATAATAAGGAAGCACTGAATAGCAGCTTCATTAGATTATATTTTTGTTGTTTTCTTTTTAATTTCTTCTCCAACACTGGCATTTTTAAGATGTGACTTTCCCATCCACCTGAGGCTCTGCACAATTTCTGTATTTCCACGTAAGCAGTTGTATTGGTATTCATGTCTTTAAACACTAGTAATATTATTTTATGCACTGTCATCATTTTTCTTATATTGGGACTTTCATCATGTGAATTTTAACTCTCATGGTCATGAAACTATAATCTTATTGAAGGGGTGGATTGAGACCATCTTCTGGGTCTCCTGGAAGACAGTTAGATTTTTTATATTGATGGGTATCTATTTTTTTCTTTTGGAAGACCATCAAAATGGAAGATGGATCAATAAAGATACTTTAGAATACTGTCAAAAATATTTCTGGATCTGCTCCTGTTATTGACCATGTTACCTGTTGTGCATAATGAAAAATCAGTGTTGACTGACTGCTATTATAAGCATTATTTATTGTTGCATCAAAATTGACAAAAAGACCTCTTTTGCATCTTTTTTTTCTGTTTTTTTGTCTGTACATTTGACAGCTTTTCTGCCTTGTTAAGATGTGATTTTTAACTCCCATCCACCTGAGGCTCTGCACATTTTCAGTATTTCCACATAAGCAGTTGTATTGGTATTTATGTCTTTAAACACGCTGTAATATTATTTTATGCACTGTCATCATTTTTCATATATTGGGACTTTCATCATGTGAATTTTAACTCTCATGGTCCTGAAACTGTAATCTTATTGAATGGGTGGATTGAGACCATTTTCTGGGTCTCCTGGAAGACGGTCAGATTTTAAAGTTTATATTTACGGGTTTCTGTTGGAAGACCATCAAAATGGAGGATGGATCAACAAAGATACTTTGGAATACTGTCAGAAAATATCTCTGGATCTGCTCCTGTTATTGACCATGTTACCTGTTGTGTATGATTAAAAATCAGTGTTGACTGACAGTGCTATTATAAGCATATATTATTGCATCAAAATTGACAAAATGACCTATTTTGCATCTTTTTTTTTCTGTTTTTTTGTCTGTACATTTGACAGCTTTGCTGCCTTGTTGAGTAACCTTTTGAAATATCTTGTCTGCTACCAAACAGGCACAAAGACAAACCAAACCTAAAATAGATATAACCTTCTTTGATGGCAGCTGCATCTATGCATTGATGGTAAACCTGTATAAAACTTGAAAGAGGAGAATTGATTTACATGGGATCATTTACATGTTTACCATTTGAGATAAAAACTTGAAAATTTTATAAATATTGTTGAGATTTTATAAAAATTGTTGATTACATTTTGACAAAATGTTTTATATATTGCAAAATATATTTTTAAAATATTTTTCTGATAAGATCAAATTCTTTTAGTTTCTACAAAAAAGATTGTTAATTTTATAACAAATGCATATTTTTTTTTTGTAGATATTGATTTGTTTTTGATTCTAAGATAATGTGCGCTATATTTAAATAACATTTTGATTGTAGTAATTATTTTGCTAATAATTTTCTGTGGGTAAAAGGTTAAAGGTGTCTAAAGTATGGATGTAAACCTAATAAATTTGACAGAATTTAAGTCTAATGTATTATTTTATTGTCTGTGAGGGAAGAGGATGCGATTCATGAAGTACATTATGAGATTATGTCTTGAATATGATTAAAAAAGTTTTGAGTTCAAATTTCTTAGTGAGAAAAATAAAAAGATGAAACTCCAGTGCCTCAATATTTACATTTATTTAGCAACCCTTTGACAACTTTTTTAAACACAAAAATAAACCTATTTTACAAAATGGCTGTTATTAGTGAAAATGATGTACCTTGTTTTCAAAGTTTTAAAAATAGATAACCTTCTTACTAAATGCCATTTTAATAATGAACCTTTTTATGAGTGAATAAATACAACCTCTTATACTTCAGCTAGCACCAGATATTTCAACCTTTATAGCACGTCTGTAAAAAGAAAAACTTTTGCTTTACAGATATAACCATCGGTAGCCAAAATTCTTTTAACCAAGTACCTGACTTGACAGACAAAATATTAAATGAACCCATAACTTCTAAAGGTGTCTTTTACAATTGTGATCATGTAATCATATGAACTGGATCAAAATTACATACTATTTCATTAAAACCAAAATTTTAAAGGTGCCTCATGGTCACCCAGTCTGTCAAATTTTAAAAGGTAAAATGCATCCATACTACCCAGTATTCCAGGTAATGAGAATGTCCCTCCAGAATGTTCTGTCCACCATCCAGAGGACTGTCGTAACTGCTTTGATCTAGAACTGTTACAATAAGTTGCAACAGGAATGCTCTCAGCAGTCATTTGATCACATTGTACGTAAAATTATGCATAATCTGTGGAACAAAATTTCCAGGCAGCTCCATGTCTTTCAAGAAAGTTTGTTTCATCTTCAAGAAGATGGTCTTATTCCACTTTGCTGTAGATGTTAACAGGAATGGTTTCAGCAGTTGCCTGAACACGGCAGTGGACATATAATAAGTATCTACATGTACACATATCATTACACATCAATCCTACATCACAGCTCTATAAACATCAACTACTGAAGTTTAACTATATACTGTTAAACACTGCCTTAGTTATCACCAATCCTGACCAATTTCATGTAGGTTGGAAAAGAGCAAAGCCTTTGCTTTACTTGCCTAAGCCATTTGACTTCGAGTGTATCAGTTTGCTTCAAATTTTTTCATTTAAAAATTGTTAATCTCATCACAAAATCTTTCAGCACTTTTGATCCATTGTTAAGAGTGGGAACTCTGAACAGACTCTTGTGGCTTTGTGACTTTCCCCATCCTATATCTATCATCATGAGGTACACAAAAATAAAAGCATTTTATAACAGACACTACCAAACATCCTACATAAAATCTAAAAATAACAGCTGTGAAAGTGC